GCATGGTGAGTGACGCGGTGCCGCAGATGACGATGTAGACGACGCGGTGCGTCTCTGCCTCGTGCAGCCATGCGGGCACGACCAGGGCCACGCAGATGGCGGGGACCATGACCTCCATCGACTTTGGGAAGATCTGCCGGCGGCGCGGCGGCAGGCGGGGAGGCGGCTGGGCTCATAGGGAGGCCGTGCGGGCGAGCGGGCGGGCGCGGCCACGGGGGTGGGGGGGAGGCACGGGCTGCTGGGTTGGCAGCTGGTGCAGGTGCCTTTTTGTGCGGGTGTGCTGCTCTGCACGCTGCCGCCAGCCGTCTGCTCCGCCCCTCCTCGCTTGCTTGCTTGCCGCGCCGCACCGCGCCGCGCTAGGCCACCCACCACGCGTTGCCCGAGGGTGTGTGCGTGCCAGTTGCACAGCGAGCTTGCCAGCGACAGCGCGGCGCACGCGGTGATGACCTGGCTCGCGCACGTGATGCAACAAAGTTGAGGAAGGGTCCCGACCTTCAGCCCGGAAGCTGGAGGGGCTGCGACCATGCACGACGCGTGGTCGAGCGTGGTGAGACGCTCGTGACGGCGGTCGAAAGCGCCATGCCACTTTGTTGCTGTTCCCAGGGGGCCGCTGTTGTGCTTGGTAGGATCTCACCTGCTTGAACGCGACGTCCTGGACCGCCACAATCAGGACGGCGGTGCATGCATCGAGTATGTATGCCAACAGCTCGCTCTGGCCGGTAATGCATGGAGTGGGGAGCGCGCACTCGTGGGCACGCCGCGGCGGACGAGCGCTATGTGGCCAGGCGGATGCTGGACAGGGCAGCAGGGTCGAGGCACAAAGGGCCCAAAATCTCAGCCGGCGTAGCGGTGTGCACGCCACTTGAGCCAGGCAGCTCAAGGACCTCACAGGGTGCGTGCGGCAGTAGCTTGCGGCCGCTGACGCCCAGCCGCTGCCTTTGGCGTCGTCCGTTTTGGTCATGCTGCAGGTGGAGCGCCAGGATCAGCCGCATGCAAGCACGTGGGCGGTGGTGAAGGTGTCTGGATGTACTTGTATTGATTTCTCATGTAATTCTTGAATCAACCGTCTCGAGAAAGGCTCCCTCGTGGGCTCAGCGACGGTGAAATGGCCGCAGTGGGCCCTGGTGCCTGATGAGTTCAGCCCTGCTGTAAAATTTGTGGAGGTAATCATCCAACCTTGTGAATAAGCTCGGTTTCAAAATCTTCGATCACACGGAAAACCACTCAGTACCGTGTAGCCCTGCACCTACAGATCAGGGGAGGCTATACAATATCCGGGGCAGGATGCAGAGTCTCGCTGGTGTACAGCGTCATATAACCCTTTATAGCCGACCCTACGTGCTGCCATTACCATTGGCACGTAGCCGCCACGCTGGTGCAATGCGCAGCATGCCGTTGGTGGTGGGCCAGCCCACCCTCCCACCGTGGTGCCGGGCAGCCTTGGCAGACGGCAGCGGGAAGCTCGATGATGGCCCTGGAAACATCAGTCCCGCGGAGGGCGACGCCGCTGCCAAGGCGGTCGGGCCCCTGCAGGAGCAACAGCAGGAGCAGCAGGAGCAGCAGCAGCAGCAGCAGCAGCAGGAGGAGCAGAAGCAGCAGCAGCCTGCTGTCCCCGCACGGCGTGGGTGGTTTGAATCTCTACCGGCAAAGTTGCAACTGTTCATGATAGGGGCCGTGGTGTTGGTGGCGGTGGTGAGTGCTCCTCCCGGGGTGGGCGCCCTCAACAGCGCACGCATGGCGGGCGGCCAAGTCACACACCCAGTCCGAGCGCCAGGCGCAGTGGCGTTGCGTAAATAGTTGGTGCAGGGGCAGTCGATTGACCGGCATAACCCTGTTACAGCAGTTTGGCAGCAGGAGAGGATGCATTATGTTGACTAGCAATGATCTGCCCTGACACTCTCACTCCCATGCATTTGCTGAGCAACTGGCCGCGCTCCCTCTACCCTCTTTTCCACCCATGCAGGTTGGCCTGCCATTCCTGCAGCCCACCATCCTTTTTGGCTCTGGATCGCAGCAGCAGACAGCAGCAACCGTTCAGGAGCAACAGCCCGCAAAGTGTGCTGGGAAAAAGGGTCCTGTCTGCCATGTTCCGCTATGAACACTGCATGGCCACCCCTGCCCGAAGGGTGCTTGCCCGCACCGGCTTGCGTTGCCATCGCAACAGGACTCCGGCCGCCTCCAGGCTCATATCTGCAGGCTCACAAGACTCAGCTGCCCTGCACTATCTGCACGCGCGCAGGCCGTCCAAACCCATCCCTGTGATCACGCCAGTCCTGGAGGGGCTGCAAGCCTTTGCCATGCCGCGCACGCTGCCCGACGGTCGCGTGGAGTCACCCGGCGTGCTGCGCATCTACCTGGCATCGATGTTTATCCTGGCCGCATTCTATGCCATCAGCGCAGTTATCCAGGTGCGCACTGCACATTCGCTTTTGGCGCCACGGCTGAAGCGCTTTTGCGGGCCTTGCTCCAGCCTACCGGCGGCTTGTGTGAAGCCACCTTCGAGACAGAAGGCTAAGGCTTGAATCGCGCTACTTGCCAGTCAGCGATTGTGGGGACGAGCGGTTGCACGCCTTGCATCGATTGTATCTCCTGCCCACGCCCTCCCATGTGCTGCCCCACCATTGTGCGCGGTCGCACGCCAGACCGTCGTCAACGGGCTGCTCGGGGGCCTGCGCGCCATCGGTATCCTCCGAGGTGAGACCGCAGCGCAGGCTGCAGGAGTAGGAGGTGTCATGAGGCAATCTCGTTTGCATAGCATGCTCAGCCCGGCCCCCACCAATGTGGAGCACCCAGCCACTCAGCCACGCGCCACTTTGCCACTTTGGCGCACCCGCAGGCAACAGCACATTCAAGGAGCAGCCTCAATAGGCTCAGTCAGGCTGGCCTTTGTAACACTGCCAGGCACCTGACTGGTTTCATTGCAGCCTGGAGACCAAATAATGGCTTTCATTCAGGCATCATGCAACCAACAATCAGAAGGAGGCAACAATGTGCTTACGTACTCCAGGCCCATAGTGTTGCCACCACGAAGGCAGTCGTGTTACCCAACAAGTTGAAGCTATGTAGGACTTCAGCTGCAGTCATTCCTTAGGCTCTTCATCAGCGAGCCGTTCCAGCTCTCGCCGCAGCGACTCCTCCACTTCCTGTGCTGTGGGGGTCGGCTGCGGGTCCACCTGCGGTTCGTCCGCCTGTCCTGTGCCCACTTCGTCCGTCGGGTTGACAATCTGTAGCCCTATACCCGCCTGACTTTTGAACGACTGGCTCTTGGCCACTGCGAGGAGGGGCCAGGGGTGCAAGAAATGTGTCGGCTCTGTTGGTGCAGGTGGTGGCGTCGTGAACGCACCTCCTGTGCATCCCATGCAGCTTGACGCCATGCACCAACGGGCACGCAGGAGCGGGCCTAGTAGGTCTATCGTAATGCAGTAAATGTACTCCTTCTTGTTCAGCGCAATCCTGGCAACCACTCGCTCACGGCATTGCTGCGCTCCTGCTTCCGGACCTGTTGTTGGCGGTCCGTTCCCGTTGGAATCCGCCATTTATCAAAATTATATTAGATTGCACTTATGCTGGGGCCTGTCTGTGAGGGACGCAAGATCGCGGGCGGCAAAATACTGCAGATGTGAATGTATGGTTGTAGTTGGTCGGATGTGCGAGCAGGAAAATTTGTGACCGTGGCGTGCTGAGAGGTACACCAGGTCAGGCGTGACTGCGGGCGCCACAGTGGGCGCGCGTCGTTCCTCATCGATTTTGAATTGTGCCTGGCTGTCACAGCACCAAAACAGGATGGCTGCATGTTACTCGCCAAATACGAATGGACAAGAACCGTGCATTGCACGAAACGTAAGAGCAGTTAAAGGGTGCACGCGTGCGTGTCAGTGACGATGGTGGTGCCGCAGTATCAATTGGTGCGAGTGCCCGCCCCAGCGCTTCCCCTTTCCCGTCAGCCGGGCTCCGTCTGCGCCCATACGGCCATTGGCCCAGGCAGAGGCCAACACGTGCCCGCAACTTGGCGCGCCATTGAGCAGGCTCGGGCCCTAGCGAAAACAAGTCTAGCACAAACAGGGTCAAATGGGTCTCCCGGGGCGGGGGCGTCCGCATAGCCAAGGGGCGGGG